TAGCATATGGCGGTGTATGGTTCCATGTTTCAGCAGAAGATTCATTCTGCTCTTTTTTTTTGTTTTTGTTTTCTTACGAATACGTCCAGTGGGGCTTGCTCGACTACTCAGCAAATGCACAAAGGGGCTCGTTCCACACTCCTCGGGCGCGTAAATCCCCCGAGGAAATGATCATTCCACTTATCCTCGGGGAAGAAATTGAAAAAAAAAAGTGAAAACATTTCCTCGGGGATTCCTCGGGGATTCCTCGGGCCACAGCCATTTCGACGCGTTCCCCAAGGGACCTCCCGAGGTCCCTTGGAGGTCGAGCATCCGGAAGAATCGGGACGTCGTCGGCAGCTCTCTCGACGACCTTTTGCGACGGCCGTCTGTACCACTGTTGTTCCTGGCGCCGGTGGACGGACATCTTCGATCGGCAACGGTCGGCGTCATGGAAGAGTGCGCCAACGGTCCCCTTTTGCGGCCCGGTCGCTTCCCCGATGTCGAAAAGCGGCTTTCTTGCGTCGCCGCCCTTGTCGCCGAGCGGGAAGGCGCCCAACGGTCGCAAGATTCGAATATTTGAACTGTCCCCCGGGCGGGCGATTGCGCAATGTGTTCACAAACGGAATGCGTTACCGTGCTTTTGTCATTTGTTGCGGTTAGGCGTTTGCAGCAGTGTCCGTCGCCGTTACGTGATAGATCCCCCGTTGTCTACTAGCTGCCACTGTCATCCACCTGCTTTTCATGGCCGACGTCTTTCGGAGGCTGGCGCTGCTCCTGCTGGTCGTCCTATTGCTCCTCCTCCTGGTTGTCTTCCACGTGTGCATCCTCGGCGGCCTTCCGCGACGTGGTCGCAGAAGGAGGTGTGTGAAGAACAACGACAGAATGGAGGGCCGGAAGGCGATCAGCGGGTCCGCAGGGGAGCGCGGTGGGCGGTGGTCCGGGCACAGCCCGTCGAATAGTCCAAGGCCGTCGGAGCGGTGCGGGCACGCGCACCTGCCACCGCACTTGCAACCTCTGCCTGACACGGACGACGAGGAAGGGGACGATAGACGGTCGCGGACCGTGCCGCTGGGAAGCGGATCCACCCAGGAGTGGGCGGCTACAGAGCTGTTTGGAAGCCGCGACGGCGGTAAAGGGTAGTGGTACACCGAGCTCCTCCAGCAGGGGCTCAGCGACACCGATGGCGATGGCTGCGTGAATTTGTCGTTTGGACTCGGCAGTGGGAGGTCGGCAGCAGTCTCTCGAACCGTCGTCGTAAACCCCCATCCCGACGACGATGGCCGCGAAGTGACGGCTGTTCAGCGATCACCCACGTCTCCAGCGCCGCTGCGGGAGGCTTCGGGGAACAACAAGGATCCTCCTAGGCAGCAATTTCGGTCGCCGTCTGTGTGTAGGGGTGCCTCCGCTCGCCCCCAGTGGATGCAGTCTCCGTCTCCCCTGTCCGCCGGTTCGAGTGCAGGTCGTCGTGTTGGCGAGTGTAGGGAGACGGCGCCTGCCGTTGCTGATGTTGGTGACGCACATGACGGAAGGGAGGTGTGGGCAGAACAGCGACGGTTGATGAGGTCGGTGCGGGAGGAGTCCATAACTCGGGGGGTGCAACGATTGCGTGTTGGGGAAGACGGGCACGACGGCGAGGAAGCAGTGGGGGACGCGCACGACCCCGACTGGAACGACAACGGCGCTGAAGGTGGGGAGGACGACGCAGGCTACATTTCGCGGTCGAAGCAGGCAGCCGCTATGGGAGGGAGGGGGGGGAAGACGAAGTCGTGTGGCGGTAATGGTCGTTGGGGCAAAAGGACGGCAGGCAAGGGCAGCGATGCCGAAGGTGACGTCGATGGTGAAGGAGGTCGTCATTTTTGGTCCGTTGACGACATTATAGCCCTCATCCGGGCTAAACGTGATCAGGATGCGCATTTGCAGGGGATGGGCCACGCGTACGCTCGGATGAAGCCGCGAGAATGGAAGTGGCTGGATGTGGCGACGAGGTTGAAGAAGGTGGGCGTCGACAGAGAGGCCGATCGGTGCGGGAAGAAGTGGGACAATCTGATGCAGCAGTTCAAGAAGGTTCATCATTTCCAAGGACTGTCCGGGAAACAGGACTTCTTCCAATTGTCTGGGAAGGACAGGATGTCGAAGGGCTTCAATTTCAATATGGATCGTGCGGTTTACGAGGAGATACTGGGGTCGACCGCCAAGAACCACACCATAAACCTGAAGAACGTCGCGGACACTGGCGCTCAGGGTGGTGTGCGTCTGCCATCCGCCTCCTCTGCGGATCCCGACGGGGACGGTGGTGCAGAGCACGACGACGACGACGACGACGACGGGTCCACCAAAGGTTCTTCGCAGACGACGGGTGGCGCAGACGGTTTCGGCAAGAGGAAGAGCACAAGGCAGCAAACATTTGAGGCCATGACGGAGTGCATGGAGAAGCACGGGGCGTTAATGGCGTCAACGGTGGAGAGCAACAGCAAACGTCATTGCTCCATCGCCATACGTCAATGCGAGGCGCTGGAAGCGGAGATCGAAGTGCAGAAAAAGCACTACGCAGCGTTAGACGAAGTCATCAAGCTTATGTGTCACTCCTTGCTGGAGATAGCGAAGGCCATCAGCAAACGTTAGACTTAGTGTCGCCTCTGTTGTGCTCTCTGTTCGCTTGCATGGAATTGGACGGAGCGAAAGTGATAGTCTTTCCGTCGTCGATGTAGCTTAGCTTAGCCATCGCCGTCGTTGTCGATGTGCCGTTCCCCCAATGGCGGTGCTGGCCAAGGAATTGGGTACTGGTCCGATTTGGTGGATGAGTCCTTCAGTGAAATTTGTTTTCGTTTTTAAAATTGTTTTTTTTTTTTCATTGTTCGTTTCGTTTGTTGTTGGCCTCGATCGTGTGACGGGACGGATGATACCGTCAACTCTGAATTGTAATTGGCATCGATGAAGTGCAATATGCACTTTCCTTTTTTACATGACGACATCAATTTCGTTCTCTCGCTCTCTCGTTTCTTTGTGTCTTTGCCGTAAATGAAATGCAGAGGTGTAATAAAGGTGCTGACTTTAATGCCGTTGTTTTTCGGATTTTTTGTGTTCAATCGAAATCGGCTCCCTCTTTCTCTCTAGCGTGTGTTTCGGTGTATTCTCC